GTACAAATGTACGATTTACAGCCGGCATCCATAATATTTGTAGCTGTATGACTCACGAATTGGTAAGAGTTGAGAATAATAAACAAACAAAGTGAAAATATTTTTGGAATCCTCCCACATTCCCATACTAATATAAACCGCAGTCAATGAGGAAGGTCAACTAACAACCACTAATTTTAAATATACAAAAATAAACTAAAAACGATTGGTGAGTATAATAAATACATACCTATGGAAATGGAACACTTGTGTATAAATACGAAAAATCATACTTTTCATAATAGTTAACTTTAAAACATCWCACGAGTTATACATATTTATTTTATGGTACCTATAGGTACCTACGTTATTTATCAAAAAACAATTATTTTCTTCTAGTAAGTATTTTTGAACGTTACATACTAGATTGTTTATAGCCTTATAGGTCCTTCATAATATGTTGAATAATTTAATGTATTAAACACAATATTAACATATTAATATACATCATTATTTAATTTAGGTACTACCTATATAATATTGTAATATATATTTATACATCTAAGTGGCTAGGTAGTAGATATTATWTATTTATGTATATGCAATATGCTAATAACCAATTTTCAAGTGTTGGGTTAACTTAATTTTTTCAAGTAAATTTGTGTGGTTTGTAAAAAAWWTTTATAATTTGAGGAAGGTATTTTTAATGCTACTGCAGAGTGCAGTAGGTTATCGCCATTACGGGAGTAGATGCATTATTAGAAGTTAGGTAGTCAAAAATCAATTAATATACCTGGCCATATTGGTGCACTAGACGTTATTGGTATACATATATATTTTTAGTTGCTTGAATTTTATAAGCATTAAATTCGCAGAAATGTCTTTGGTGCCATTGTTCTTCCGCGACTGGTGGGAAGATTTCGAACGCGAGAGATTACCAAGACGGTTATTGGACCAACACTTTGGTATGGGATTGCATAGAGATGATTTATCCAATTTGACGTCTGCGCTGTCTTCGCCTTCTCTGAGATCAGCCACATACTATAGACCCTGGCAAGGTATACTTAACCGGCAAAATAGTGGTACATCCAACCTCAAGTTTGATGAAAAACAAGTGCAAGTTATATTGGACGTCCAACAATTTGGGCCTGGTGAGATTTCCGTTAAAACATCAGAAGGAGCAATAATTGTAGAAGGAAAACATGAAGAAAAACAAGACGAGCATGGTTTTATATCCAGACAATTTAAAAGAAGATATTTATTACCTAAAGATGTGGATATAGAACAAATAGTTTCAAGCTTGTCTTCAGATGGAATACTTACAGTTAGCGTCCCTAAAAAGGTAACAACTTTAAATCAATRCCTAACTCTTCAGTYTTTATATTATATATAATTACTTACTTGTATTAAGAAATAGCTAATAGRGATTTAATGTTTAAATAATTAAGCAGGTAACATATTTTTTAAATTCATTAATTAATAAATTGCCTATTTTTTAAGTAGGTAGGTACCTAATTAATAGTAGTATAACTAGTTATTTAGTTAATATAAAACACATTATCTTTACAAAAAATTTATTATCTTCGATACCTATATATTTAAATGGATTTTGGGGCTAAAATGCACTTTACCAACCCCCTYACGATTTTAATTTTTTTTTACCGGAAACTTTTATTTTAGTCTTCCAAATTTTGCGGTTTTATAACATCAGTACGTATTACGCGCGCGCCGCTCATCACA